AAGGATAGCACAAACTGGTTATGCCTTTGTTTAATTTCTACTTGCTTGAGTTTGTGATGGTGATTGATCGTCCGAGCATTAAAAATTTTGTGTGGATTTTAACATCATGCTAGTTTGCCAGAAGCAAACATTTGAAAGATAACATTTATGAAAATCTTTAGAAAAAAAGGAACTTGATGATTTTGGTGATTATGTGTGATCTTATTAAAATGTGAATATTTCTAATTTCTCATGCATTAATCTTTCATCCCCATGATTAGTGCACTGTGATATATAATAGTAATTATTACTTGTCTTTGGCCTTGAACGTTCATTTTTACTGGACACCCTTATGATTTTTGCACGATTATATCTCTTGATTCTTTAAGTATCTTTGTCCAGAAGACAAACACTTTAAATTTTTTTTCTCTATCAATTAAGACATGAAAAATTAATGCCTCACTAAAAAAATATTCACTTTTCTGGGCAATCCCTGAAGGTCGCTTTGATCTATGAAAACCAATAATCTTCCCTCAAACGTAACTGGCAGACTGAATCAGAACTTTTTGGATTTCAAATACATGACTAAATATGATTCAGTTCTGTACTAAGTTATCTAGCAGCTGAAACTCTGTAAGTAGAACATTACAGACAATGATAAATTGATCGAAAAATTCTTTTCCCTATTCCACGCAAATAATATTGTACTCCAGCAATAGTACATGACTAAGAATTGCACTTAGCATTCTGAATTGATTAGTACTCACAGAGAAGCACAATCAATTGATGATTAGAAATCACAATATCAGACTAGTTGGCTTACGAGTTGTGTTTGTATCACATGCTTGTAAAACCCCGAAAATTTTGAAAATATTATTATAAATGATAATAAATGAGTTTTATTATGATTGATGATCATTCTGGGATGAATGGATCAGATTGGAATTAATTTGAGATCGATTCGCAGTTTTAGCCTCGATATCGCGAGTCTATTGAAAACTGATACTATTTTATTTTTAGAAATTTTTCTATTGATCATATGGATATGAGGTTTACACCATTGATCTTAGAATGACGAGACGGTGCTATGGGTAAATTTTCATTGCTTTCTGAGAACGAAGTCTGAAA